AGAGCTGTCTCAGAGTTAGATCTGTGAGTTAGCCGTGCCTTGACTTAGATCAGACCAGAGCTGTCTCAGAGTTAGATCTGTGAGTTAGCCGTGCCCTGAGTTTGATCAGCTCAGAGATTGTTTAAGGGTTCAATCTTTGAGTTAGCCGTGCCCAGATTTGTTTCAGGGTTTGATCTATGATAGGCTCAGAGATTGTTTCAGGGTTCAATCTGGTTTTTAGCCGTGCCTTGCCTTTGACCATCATAGAGGTTGTTTCAGAGTTCAATCTTTGAGTTAACCATGCCCGCACTTAGATCAGCCCAAAGTTTCTTGGTCAATCCTGTTGCTACTGGCCCAGAAATTTTCATGTTGTGGTCATGAGGAACACAGGTATTTTTTTTAACCAAGAATTTTTTTTAAAATGTTTTTATCCACCTTCGAAAAAAGTTCAACGATACATGTTTTTAGACTTTCTCTAGTGCAAAACAGAACTCTTACATGTATATTTCCTCCTTTCTTAATAAACTACTCTTCGTGTCTTTCTTGCCTCCTCTGAAGTCACTTTTGATGTCGGGAGGAGCTTTTTCCCACTGGTCTTTTCGTCTTAGCTTTTCTACTAGGTGTATGTGAGTCAAAGTAGTCCTCATTTGTTTCACTCTCTTCATCACTCATTTCATGGTCACCACTAGTTTCTTCATTGCTCGATTCTCTGTTGCTTGTTTCTTCAACATTTGTTTTTTCATCGGTGTCTTCATTGCTTGTTTTGCAGTTTCCACTAATTTCATCAAGGCCGCATTCAAACTTTTAGCCATTCAAACACTAGCCATTCCCACCTATCAAACTTCCTCCATTTTCCAGTTTCCCATTTCTCCAACTTTTTTTTCTGTCCACAAAAGTAACACTCGCTGTGCACTTTTTGCCATTATTCATTCTTGTTACATAACCTTTGTTTTTGTTTGATTATTGCATGGGCATGGCATGAGTTAAAATTAGATGACATTCAAAAAATAGCATCAAAGAGTGCTCATGGTTACTGAGCCATGCACTTGCAGTTGATGCTTAATTGCTTTCCAAAGATTATCTGAACTATTATTTACATGCTGTTTTTCAATGCAGAAGCTTCACCCCTACACTATTTACAGAGTGGTGAAATGGCCACAATAGATACATTTGAGATTTTCACATGTTAAGATCTTGATATCGTTATTATTTATGAGTTTCCATCCGTTTATGAAAAACCATTAGATCTTTTCAGAAAAGCGTTAATCGTTTATGAAAAACCGTTAGGTCTTTTCAGAAAAGCGTTAATCGTTTATGAAAAACCTTTAGGTTTTTTCAAAAAAGCGTTAGTTCAGTGCAAACCATTATAACGTTCTGGCAAAGCGTTAACGTCTCTCAAAAAGCATTAAAAGCCGTTAAAATAGGCCGTTTAATGGAAAAGCATTAAGGCACGTTTTCCCATGGAAGGTCACATATTGTGAACAAGCGAGTCCATGAGAGAGCAAGCAATATCAGATGGAAAACGAGTGAATAAAAAAATATCAAGCTCTTAGAATGCAATAATTTGTTTATTATACATTTAGGGTCGATAAAATGACAAAATTTGCTATTTCCAGTTCACCATGAAGTGATATCATATCACTTCTCTGATATGCTTTATATTCACAGCTTTATCACACTGATATCGACCCTAAATATGTAATAAGTAAGATGTACTGGCTTCCCTACCTCTAATTGGTCTTTTAATTTTGGTATTTTGGAAAGCAATTAAGCATAGACTTGCTTACACTGGGCACTGAAATTCACAAGAATGATAAAAGATGACAACATTACTGCCCCATTTCAGACTTTAGGTCAAATATCTTAAAATGTTGCAATGAAAATAAAATTTTGGCATTATGTTGTAGTAAGTAAATGTAGAGAAACTTTTACTACTTTACATTAAGTAGTTTTGAATTTACGAACATGTTTGTTATCATAATAAAATAGTCCAAAAAATACTGTAAATATCGGACTTTAATTGGCCTAATATTTTGGAATGTCAAATGGTAAGATTTCTCTCCAATTGTTTTCCCTGTTACTCAGCAGCTTTAGATAAAATTAACGACTCAAAACAAGCGAACAAGCACTTTTTCATGAAGATACTGAAATGTTTTAGTTTTGCAAAATTTCTATGCTTCAAAACTTCAAGGTCAAATTTATCAAAAACGCTCTCACAGACTTTCTTTGCATTCTTTGAACTTTGAGCAAAGTACACAATCCATCCTTCAAGATCTCCAGCACAATTTTGAAACTTGGGTTGAAAAATGAAGAAAATGAGTTGTAAAGCAAACAAGCCAATTTTATATTAATTCCTATTCCAGTAAAAACTTGCTTATTTGAAAATTTCATATTTTCCTTAAAGTGCAAATGAACCCTTTGACAATACATTCAGTACTGGTTCTGCATAAAGTAAATAGTTGATTGGTAAAATATTTCTTGATTTGAGTGATGCGTCTTTAAGTTATTAAGGTTTATACTTCCAATATGTTAATGATGATGACGTCAGGTAAGGTATTTGAGTGTTTTTGTTGTAACTAATAATACTAAATGCTGGCCATTTTGAAAATAAAAATTGTAAATAGCTTTCATGTAAACCATGAGTAAAATAATGATGCTTCTTAAATACTGTATCTATGAACCAGTTCGATTTTGTATATTTGATTAAGCCTTAATAGACGTCACACTCATTARCATATTGGAAGTATAAACCTTCATAACTTAGARACGCATCACTCAAATCAAGAAATATTTTACCATTCAACTATTTACTTTATGTAGAATCAGTACTGAAAGTATTGTCGAAGGGTTCATGTGCACTTTAAAGCCTTGAAAAGATTTGTTACCAATGGATCGTTCATATACGTCCGCATATTTGTGATTTGAAGTTGAAAGATGCGTGCCAAGAAAACCCCTTCGAGCCACTAAATAACAGTGATAATGTCAAGTGATATTCATTTAATGTTACTTGCTTCTTGATGTTTTTTCTACCTGACGTCTCTTCTGTTTTATTAGGGAAAAGATCTCTACTCATGATTGTCTTCAGTGGGATACACTAGTCTTCATGATAATAAAGCTTTCCCAAATTCGCTTGAGTGACCAAGAAACAATGGTTGCAAGTCAAGGGTTGGACTTGAAAGATACAGTAAATACAGGATTTTCATTAACAGTCAGGGATCAGAAAATGCTGAGAAACTGATCAAAATTCCCTGGCATAAACTACCATTAATAGCTCAGTAACTTGTAAAATGTCCACCTCTTCAGACTTTTTGGCAATTCTATTATTTTAAAAACTTAACCCTGGCATGACAGGGCAGAAAAACGACAAGCCTGCTACTTTCACGATTTTTTTATTTAACTGAGTTTGATACTCCAAATTTTTAACCGTAACATTTGTGTCACTGCTGCTCGAAAGTTTTCCGAATTAGTGTAAATCTACTTAGTATTCACAAAAATGTCAGTTTTTCTGCAGATCAAAATATCACCTCTCCCAAAGTACACGGCTTTATATCTCATATACGCATTCAATAAATTATGGTCGCATTTGATATTTTGCTATTTGGCTCCAAAAGAACGTGTTTACAAAATATTGAGCTTAAATATGTAAAGCTGTCCTTGTGCATGGTGAAAGGCCAAAAAGCGTTTTTCTGCCCTGGCTTCTGACAGATCTAACCTATACCCCATTCACTCCTAAAAGTGTTTAGTTAAGCTATGTTTTCATTAGGGAAAAAATTGAGAAACTAGAAACCTACGATATGAAACTTTCTAAAATATTATCAGAGCAAGACAAAGGATAGTTTACATGCACTATTTCACCAAATATTGTGCAGTGCTCATAGATAGTTTTCCAAACCTGTTTAGTTAAACCACTTTAAAACATGTTTAAGCCTTGGTGTGAATTGGGTATTAGACTTGGAACCATCGTTTCAAGTTCAGTCAAGCCAATTCAAGACAAGTCTATTGTAATGCTGTAGAGAAAATTAGTCTTTGGTTAAAATTATTTCCAAAATATTTTAAGATTTGTATTAGTTTTATCCAAGATCTCAGTAACCGTTGCAAGAACAAGTCAGAATCCTTGATCAAATCCTAAGTTCTCTTAACAATTTCAGTAATGTTCTAGAAGAATATAGTACTTGATCAAAATCAACCTGTTCTTATAACACCATTAGACATTCCATAGCTTTACCTAGATGTTAGTTATTAGATATGTAATTATTAGATTTGTATAAATATCAGAGGTTGCAACAAGGTATTGCTGGAGTGCAAGTTCAACGCAGGCTGGAGGTAACAAGGAACAGTGATGCAGAAACCTTTATTGATGCATAACTTCATGTGTAGTATCAACTATTTATTGCTACAGGCCTATACAACACATGGAATACATGGGAAATACTTATTTTAATCGCAAGAATCTGGTAGTCAAGGCAGAGAGAAGAATTCTAAAGGTTAGTAGTAACAAAGATATTAGCCAGATTTAACTGAGGCAACATAGCCAAGACAGCCAGTACCTTGTAAAAAGAACCTAATTATAGACCCCTTGCATGTGACATCAAAGCAGCTTGATCTGGGGGACAAAACAAAAGAATTCCAATCTCCTGAGAATTGGAACCTATTGTTTTGTCCCCCAAATTGAGCTGCATTCCAAAGTGCTGTAAGGGGTCTATATGCCTATGATCTGTACCTCTATGATCTTTATTACATCCTTATTGCTAATGTTTCTACATCATGGAGAATGTTTTTAGTTTCTCTGACCCAGTCAACTGAGGGTGGTAAAAGAGGGGCACGAATCAGTTTTAAAAAGTTAAATTGGACATTTCACATGTCACAAAAAATCACAATGGTCGATAACCTTTGGCACCCTGAGTCAACCCCAAACCTACAAGAGCCCAAGTTTAAAAGTAATCTGTTAAGTTACAGCAGCCAGAACGATGATCATCGTGATCATAAGCATCACTATCATCATACACATACATTATAATCATCATCATTACGATCATCATTTTTGTGTATCAACATCATTCACCTTAGTCATGTATAATAATCATGTATTATTATACCATCATCATCATGTATCGCTTTCATAATAATCACCTTCATCTTCATATCTAATAGCAGATATCGGAGTTACACTTTGTTGCCTTCAAACAAATGTTTCTAGTCAAGGCATTTGGGTCAATACAATGAAATGTATAGAAACCGACCCAGATGTAACAATTGTCTGAAGGCAATAGAGTGTAACTCCAATATCTGCTATTCACAATGACTATTCACCAAGGTTCTTCATTTTGTAATATTAACAGGAACTTGGCTTCTGCGTACATGTTAAACATCCTCACAAGGTAAGACACTAAAGGATGACACTGTATGCCTTTTACTTTCTCATTTAAATAAGTAATAATTTAAATTAATATTTTTGGTTCAATCTTTCTTTTTCAGATTATTATAAATTATTTGAGAATATTAGAATGTGAAAATAACCAAGAATTAACAAAATTAGCATGGTAAGTTGACTTTCTTACTGTCCTACAGTAATAATATTACTGTAATAATATATTAATAGTATTAAACCATTAGGCCAAACAAAAAATAAGTATGTTTTCTGTTGCAAGGCCGACTCTAATTTTCTTGCTAATTTTTGCCGACCCTAATATTTTTTTCATTCCCATCACAAAAATCTGACCTATCATTATAACTTTCAGGAACTACATGAATGATAGTTTACGAACCAACGTGTTTGTCCGCTTTCGTCCTGAGACCATCGCATGTGCTTGTATCTTCCTCTCTGCAAGAAAGCTCAAGGTATTTTTTAAATACAATTTTATCTTATTATTAATAATAACTGCTCTCTGGGTTCCAGGGTATATTGTGCTAAAAGATTAAGTTTTTTATTTAGTTTCTTGGCACAATATGTTTTGCAGTGCAACAAAAGCAAAAGTATGATCACATTAGATTTTAATGTATTTGCATTCTTCGTTGCACTGGCTTTGTTGCCAAATAAGCTTTTACACGTCATTTGGTAAAACCAGCCAGCTTCCCATCCAAAAGTGTTAGTTTAACATAGCAAAGCTAGTATGATACCAATACATTAAATGTGGTCATACTTTTATGCATTGAGCTGTAACATCATTTCTTGGAGGAAAAATAAAATAAATGTAAATCCTGGTAAAAGTGTCACTAATTTCTATTTTTTTTTTGTCACTTTTGTTTCAGATTTGCCTTCCAAACAAGCCACACTGGTTTGAACTCTTTGATGCAACTCTAGAAGAACTGGAGGTATTTCATTTGATATTACAAATAATCTACTAATTGGGCTGATGCAATTCATGGTTCCCCTTCAGACAATTCTTTGATTGCATGTTACGTCATGGCAGCCTCTGGGGGAGCGTTGTTAACTGCACCACAGTGGCCGCCATGCTTTTGTCTCTTAACTGTCTTGGAAATACTTGCAACCCATCAACAGTGAACCAATCTCTGTTGCCGCAGTTTTCCCAATGGAATCAAACTCCTAGGTAGTTGTCCTTTCTCTTCAAAGGACAGTAAACAAATTAAAAAAGCATTTGCAATGGTACTTTTTTCTATTTTTCATTCATGTTTTATCTTAGATAGAAATATTAATTTCCTTCAATTTTTGACAGGAAATCAGCTTAACAATACTAGAACTCTACAACCAACCAAAGGTAATACGACAAAATAATACATAGCTCACAAGGTCCATGCTATTGGCTATGTACTTCAAATATACTTTCATTATGTTATTCCAAAACTCACGGGGAGGGGGGGGGAGATTATGATGGCTGGAAAGAGAATATTAAAATTAGTTAAACTGTGAAGTTTGGGAGGAAGTAAATTCAAAAATCCCAAAGATAAAAATTTTCAAAAATAGAAATGTTGTATGAAAAAGTTTATTTTAGGCAAAAGGTCATCTTTCAAAATTCACATTGTTTTCAAAGTTCATATCTTTGTGAGTTTTGGGCTTATTTTCTTCGAACTTCACACTGTTTTACTGATTTTAACATAATCTTTTCAGCTATGGTAATTATGATACGTTTCTGATTTTCTAATTCATTAATGCCTGATAAAAGCTCAATGAAAAGCATTCAATTTCGTAGGTTACTTTAGATGAGCTCTTGAAGAAAACTACTGAACTGCGAGCTCAAATTGAAGAAAGAAAGAAGAAAGCTACAGAACAGAAATCTCAGGCTTCGGCTAACCCGTCATCCATTAAACCAACACAGTTTGACTCCAGACCAGGTAGAAATATTATTCACTCTCTTCGTTTTATCCATGCCTTTCTACCATCCCTTGCGCTTCTCTTTTCTATATTCACTCTCTTCATTTTATTCCCCTTCTCTTTTCTTATATTCGTTTTTGCCCATTTAATTTCTTTCCATTCACCCTTTCTATGCCTTTTATTCATTCGTTTTCCTGGGGGAGGTGGCGGGATTTTGTGAATTGGAAGTAAAAGAATTATGACCGCTTCCCTTCAGCATTTTTTTTTTTTCTTTTTTTTTTTTGCGTGGCCCCCAAGAAAATATTTTTTAATCAATTTTCTTTTTTCTTTTTAGCTAAATATCTTCGTGGTGCCCCCTTAAATGCCATATTTTTTAACGTTCCTACCACCCCGCCCTAAGTTCCACCCATCACCCCATCCCTGTATAAAATAAAACGGCCCCTAACCCAGACTTTCTGGTTACTCTCCTAGGGTCTAGAGCAACATCTCCCAGTAAGGTTTCACCCTTCTCTGGTGAGGAAACAAAACGAAAAGGTGCTTCGAAATCTGAAGAGGACAAGAAGACAACGGAAAAAGATAGGTGAGAAGACTTGGAGTTGTTGAGGGCCGTAAGCTAGAAAACTGTAATAGATTATTGCAACTATTAAAACTAGGCAACGGTAAGGGTAGGACAGCCGTGGTCAATTTACAGCGCGTAACGCCGTGCGCTCTAACGTGCGTAACTGTTTTTTTTGTTTTTGTTTTTTTTTTTTTTTCGTCTCTTACTCTCTCGTTAGTCACTTGTTCTAAAGTCAAACTTGTTTTCCTTTATTTTTTAGGAATCCAACAAGCCGACAAAACAGACGGAGCAGGTCTCCGAGGAATCGCAATCACAGCGGCACTAAAAGCCGTTCCATGAGTAGAAGCCGTTCAAGATCTCGCTCAAAATCACGATCACGCAGTAGATCACGAAGCAGATCACGCAGCTATAGCTTATCCGTTAGTCCCGATATTCGTCGCGCTAGTGAGTCGTTCAGTAGCGACGCAGAGAGTCCCGAACAAAAAAGACAAGGAGAGAAAAGTCGCAAGAGAAGAAATACCGTTGTACGTTCGTCAAAAAATCGCTCTCGACAGCGTTCATGTGAGCGCGCACCCAATAAAAAATCGTCCTCAAAAACAGGCCTTTCGAATCGAGAACGATCGTACGACCGACGACACAGACCAAGACTTCGTAGTCGATCTCCGATAACGAGAAGTCGCAGTCGAAGCCCGAGTCGTGATAGAAGTAAAAGATATTACTCGAAGCGCGACAGAGAACGAGCGAAAGCTGGTGACTATCACAGGAATGGTGTAGAATATAGAACAAGGGACCGAGATGATGGAGGAAGAGATCACTCCAGGAGACATAGATAGCCTTTATATGATATGAAATGTCTTTCCGGGTTTTTTGTTTGTCTAGAAAAAATATCCATCGCAAAATTCGTCACAGCGAAACATAGCAGCATGCTCTTCTTAAAGCGCGATTACACGGAGCAATTTTCTTTGCAACTTGGCTCGCGAAGGCGTTGCGACACAAGTTGCATGGAGCATTGCAGCGTGTAACCTACAGCACATTCTGAAAAATGTTGCGAGATAAGTTGAAGCAATCGTTGCGAAAAGTAGAATTCGTTTCTACTTTTGGCAACGATTTAGAACTCTCTTGGAACTTGTGACGCAACGCTGTTTTTGGCTAAAGTGCACGGTAAGATTTAAATCGACCGTATGACATGCTTACAACTAAAACTTGGCGTAACCACTCAACAGTTGTGAGGAAGAATCAAACTGGGTAAAACAGCAGTGAATAACTTGTAGTGTAGATCATTCGTCCTTTGCTAAACGCATTTTCATTACTTGAAAAAATACTTTATATTAGCAGTACTTACGTTTTCACTTTGGCATCTTGCTTAAAATGAAGAAAGGAATCATACTCGAGGGCAAAGCGAAATAAAATGTCCTTGCCCCTTTCGTTCGATTCCATTATTCCATTCTTGTCTGTCTGTCATATGCCTAAGTAAAAATGCGACATTTGCATTCGATCCATTTATTGGATTTTCCTGGGATTGTATATGTTACACACCTAACGAAATTTAACCTGCAAACAAGCTCTCGAAGGCTATTGAAGCAGTTACTCTCGTACAAATTTGGAAAAAAGTCTAGAAAAATGACCGGCTTTACGGTGAAAAAACATCTGATCAACATTTGTTTAGATATTACTATTTTATATAAGTTGTACATAGAGCACTATCGGCTTGAAGTAAAGTTGACATCGCTTGATGTTAATCCAATTATTTATGAGAAGTGGAATTGTTTTTGTCAATCTAAAATTAAATTAGTAATGAAGAAAAATGGTCGAGATAAGGAGTACCTGTTAATCCTGAGAAATGGGAAACACGAAAAATGGGGCCCTCAAAGCGTACGGTATTATGAGCAGCAATACGTGGAGTTGCAGAGGAACATTGCATTGAAGAGACAGAGCAGAAAAACGACAAGGCTTCTACTTTCGCAATTTTTTTCTTTATATCTCCATGCTAAAAAAAACTTCAGTGTTTCATACGTGCCTCTTGTGCTTTTAACTTTTCACAAAATTCTGCTAACCTCGAGCAATTCTACTTCGAGGTATTAGCGAAAATGTTAGTTTTTGTGCTGATCAAAATATCATCTCTCCCAACGTTCAGGGCGTTATATCTCAAAGACGCATTTTTTAAATTTTCCCCAAATTTTGTTAATCAGTCCCAAAAGAGCCTGTTTATGAAATATTAAGTTTATTAACGCATAAACGTCGAAAGTAGAACCCGTTTTTCTGCCCTGTCCATTGAAGAGTGACTCGTAATTTGCTTATAGTGCGGGTTGTAATGCTGATAACGTTTATTCTGCAATCGAGCATCAATTTTGAGCGCCAAGTTGCACGGTTTCGGATGGAAAACGCTATCGTGCGATAAAAATTTGGGAAGAGACGGTAGTGCGCCCCGCCAAAATTCTCGCTAGACGATTTAACTTTTGGATGCGCAATGGTTTGTAAAATTGAAAACTTCCCACTCAAAGTATTTCTATCTACAATGTCCATACGTAGAAAATCAGGGGGGTACGGCACCACCAATAATTTTGACGCACACCATTTTATATTTGACAAAATTTAGTATTCTGAAGAGATTTCTATAATATTAGAATTTTCAATCAAAAACTCGCTCCGAGGTCCCTGAGAATAGTAAGCTATTTTCTTTCTTGCCCGATAGAGAAGACAGCCGCGATAAGGAAATTGGGCGATACGCTTCCGTCAATCAGAGTATGTAAAGGTACCGAAGAATTCAACGATTTCCATATCGCGCATTTTGTCTCGATCAGCGCGTAACAATGAAAACACTGTAGAAGTATTATAAAATACGCGTGAAAAGGTATTTCATTTTGCAACCCTTTATTATCATTTTTACAACCTCAATCTTATTAATTCAGGGAGTATCTAGTACTCCCTGGACGCATGTATTTATCCCATTTAATTATTTTTTTCTAGTATCCCTTGAGATCAACTCGATAACCAAATTATAATAATAATCATAGTTTTGAAAACTATTCAGAGTGACTAATGGACTACCTCGACGATACGGCGGCCATCTTGAATCGCAAGGCATTATGGGCCGTCCAGGGATCAAATAAAGCTTTGTTAAAGAAATGACGTCGATTGATATTAACGGCTCACCAAAAGAGAATACAACAAAAGATGAATTAAGACGGCACATCGATTACTTTACCCGAAAAGAAAGACATTCACGAAACTATATATTTTCTGTCATCTTCGTTTTCTTTTGCCCCCTGGCAATGTCGCCGCCGTATCGTCGAAAGTAGTCCATTGCACAAATTACAATCTACACACACTCGCTCGCTCTAATTCTTAGAGAGGTTTTCGTATGAGATAGGAAAATATATAACTGAGTTACAGCACGTACAAGGTGGATATGCCGTAACATTGAAATGGCTTCCCATCGTTTTCCAGTACTTCCTATCACAAAATGTAATGACGGCTTTGGTAAGACATGGTTACGAATACGGTACGACTATAGTACGAATACGGTACGACAACAGTACGGCTACAAACTTGCCGTATCGTTTCCCACTCGTACGAAAACCACTCGAGATTTTATGTTACACTTCGCGCGTTTCTGTGACCCAACATTTAAGTTCCCTCCAAATTTACAATACTCTATAATAATTTTAACCAAGATCCAAAATGTTTGTAAAGATGTCCAAGGTAGCAGATTCATGAAAGAACGACAAACATATTGCGCATGTTAGGAAACTAGACGACAAAATGGCGGACGCATTCATTATCAAGGCTTATAAACTCAATTTGTTTTCCGAAAGGCGTAGATTCTCAATGCTATAAGGCTGTTCGTAATCGGGTTTCCGATCATGCGCATTATGCTTTCTCATACCAAACTAAGCATGTAAAGTCACTAGCATTGCCACATTGCGGATTTTACATGCAACACGATTTTAAGAAATAATGACAAAGATTGTATTGTCCCTACGAAATGATTTTGTAGGGAATTATGACAGTGTTCCATTAGCCTTTGTTCCTTCAAAAGAGAGTGACAACACTTTCATTACGCGCCAATGTAGGTGTGTATTTAAGAAGAATGTTTCCTCTCTAGTGCGTAATAAATCAGTGCGCTATGCGTACCTCGTTTAGTACAGTACAAACACTAACAATGTGCAACACTTTGCACTATTTAGTAGTAAATAGTGCTAATTAAACAATAGAAAACAATATGATTGGCATAATTTAGCAGTATTTAGTGGTATTTATGTTCCACACTTATAGTGTTTGTACTCTAGCAACATGGATATAGAATTAGTTTAACAAAAATAAAGTATTTAATATTTTTGACTTGACGAATCTATGAAAGCCATAAATTATGTCTCAAATGAATTAGTCAATTAAACTTTATTACTGCAACCAGTCAACTTCAGGTACAGAATCGAATACGAATCAAAAAGCGTTTACAACTTGAAAAGGATGATTTTGTTCCATGATTTGGTTATGATCACTTTGCTACTTCTTATATACAATTCTAGAATCGAAACTAAAAATAATTTGAATTGTGCATGAATGCGGTCGAATTATTGAGTAATTATTGATTAGTTATTAAAAATTATAATTTAATTTGAAATGAAAATGGAACAGACCAAACGGTTGAGAGATTTTTTCGGCTTGTTTTCTATGCAAATAAATAAAGACCCTGTCTGAAACTAGTCATTGAATTTAAAGGCGCTAGGGTGCAGTAATAACGTACGTAGCACAAGAACAAATATTACTGGTTCCCAACAGAATAAATATAAAAGGAATGGCGGCCATGTTGGATGATATAACAAAATAAACGAATTACAAATCTTTTGCCAAAATCATCCAACATGGCGGCCACGAAAAATGACGGTGTGCGCACGCATACTCTAGCTTTCTTGAGCCTACGAACACTGATCTTCGTCGAGATGCGAACTGACGCAGACCAAAACCCTCGTGAGCTCAAGAGATAAAAATATACTGTGATAGGAATAAATAAAGTTTCTTCGGTTTCTTTAGTATTATACTTTGCTCCAAATAAAAATAATATATACCTTTAGGTCGGTCGAGAAGAAAATACTTTGCTTCTCAATTTTATATTCTTTAAAATATATTTTCACGTAATTTAAATACTTTTTCTCGTTTTTTCGTTTTTCCGAACCGAGATTTTTCAGCATTACGTTGTGCATTAGTAAAACCCATTATCTTATACTACCCAATAATATCTTCTTATTTTAGCAGTGTCAAGGCAAAAAGAATTTTACAGCGCAATGCGCACGAGCATGTCCACATATAAAGTATTGACAGCATACTTCTATGCAAGGACTTTGCGCTTGCATAGAAGCTCTTACACGCATTATCATTTGGTAAGAACAGTCAGCTTCGCATTGAAATAAGTTGATTTAACGTACAAAAGCGCGTGCATAGAAGTATGTAAATACATTAAATGTGGTCATATTTTTGCACGTTGCTCTGTAAATTTTCGTATTCAGTATGTATCCCTGTAGCCCAGTGACCACAGGGTTACCACAGGGTGACCCAATTTCAGATCCTTTGCCTGACACGAATGTCCAGTTAACATTTATGACTTAATTTAACAAAATGTATATATACCCATTTATTTACTTTTATATATTATTCATACTCATATACCTCAAAATTGAACCTCTAAGTGGGCCATCTTGGAGAACTGAATCATTATTATTTTCTTCAGAAGAGAAAACTTTCATACGAAAGCATTTTACGTATCATATATATGTCCTCCTAAATGGTTGTCAGAGGTGAAAATCCATCATTGAACAAAAATGAAATAAGATCGCAAAATAACTGCTAAATTTTAAGGTCGATTATTCCTTTCTTATGGCTAAAATATACAAATTAAAATTCATTTTTTCCCATTGAAAATTCAATTTTTCCCATTGAAAATATATAGACATCTATTCGTTACCAGCCTCCTTCGCAATCTCTTCAGCCGGGGTGTCCTGGAAACTGTCTTTCAGTGGTGCTTTTTCTTCTGTCTTGCTCTGTTTTGGTTGAACTGGTTTGATTTTCTGGGTGAGAGTTGGTGGTGGGCTGTCATTGACGATATATTCCCCGTGGGTACTCCCAGCATCTGGATCATCCTCGCCCGATAACCCTTCCACGCTGTGGCGTATGCCATAGAAGATATAAATGGCAAAGCCTGTAAGGAAAGTAACGAAATTGGTATTGAGCTCTGATGATAGAGTGGCTTGATTATCGTATGAGTGGGAAATATATTGGCTTACAGCACGTACACGGTACGACATGCCGTAACACTGAAATGGTTTCCCATAAGAATGGTTATCGTATGAGTGGGAAATATATTGGCTTACAACACGTACACGGTACGACATGCCGTAACACTGAAATGGCTTCCCATAAGAATGGTTATCGTATGAGTGAGAAACATACGGTACTGACTTACAACACGTACGCGGTACGACCTGCCGTAACACTGAAATGCCTTCCCATAAGAATGGTTATCGTATGAGTGGGAAACATAAGTTACTGACTTACAACAAGTACACGGTACGACATGCCGTAACATTATTCAAATAGCTTCCCATATAAGAATGGTTATAGTATGAGTGGGAAACGTACGGTACTGACTTACAGTATGTACATGGTACGACATACCGTAACATTGAAATGGCTTCCCATTAGAATGGTAATCGTAAGAGCGTGGAACATGCGGTACTGACTTACAGCACGTACATGGTACGACATGCCGTAACATTGAAATGGCTCTGATCCCCATGGACTGTTCTAAGGTACATATATTTCCAAGATGGCCTCTGTTTCGTCCCTAAAACAAATCCACAATGCACTGCAATGCCAACTCGAGCCATAACTTTGGGAGTGGCTAATACGCATGCGCAAGCGTGGCCTTACCTAGAGTCATCCAAACACCAAATCGAATCCAGGTCCATTTGGAGAGCTTCAGAAGCAGAAACAGATTAATCAAAATACTAGCGAGAGGAATGATAGGAATGCAGGGGACGGTGAATGGGAAGATTGCATGATTACGAGGCTGCATCATCATGACAACGAGGCCAAAGGCGAAGAGTAGTATGGTGAAGATAAGGGTGAATATGGACCATCCTTCGTGATTACCAATAGCCGACCAGCCTCCGATCATAAGAGCTACGAAACCAACCATGGCAGTGATCATTAAGACAACAGCCGTGGTCGCTATCTGACTGCTTCTCTTGTCTGGGGGATCCCCTTGATGCTGAGAAGATTGGAAGAAAAGTCTCTAGTTAAAAGATATTAAACCAAAACCATGTTTGTATGAGAGGTTGGGATTGATAACATCAGGCCATGCAGAGGTTATTTCAGGGTTTGATCTGTGAGTTAGCCATGCCCTGACTTAGATCAGCCCAGAGGTTGTTTCAGGGTTTGATCTGTGAGTTAGCCATGCCCTGAC